AATGTTGATAACCAACTCCTGCCAGAAAAGTCCAAACATCTTTACGTAAAAGCATACACAGTTTTTAAAGATTGGTGTCTTACAAAAAACGTCGTCAATACCTCAGAAAATGTCCTACTAGCATACTTTAAAGAGCACGAGGATAATAAAAAGGCATCCAGTCTATGGTGTACTTTTTCAATGTTAAAGGCAACCCTAAAATTAAAAGAAAATATTGACGTTCATGAAATTTATATGAAAGGCACAATTTTTTTATGGTAGGTAAAGGAACATTATTTTATTTTATAGATTAAAGTTCTATAAAAATACTTTTTTATATGTACGCAAAACAACCAAAACGATTTTTAATGGAGATTCATTTTAAAATATCATTAACAAAAATCAATTTAGGTACGTAGGTATCACTTCCTTTTTTCACTTTGTAAGAAGCTCATTTGTTAAATACAACTAGCAAAAATTTAAATTACATTAATAGCTATGTGTTGGGTTTTATATGTCAAAATATTGTAAATTATATATGGATAGTAGGGTGGCCCAAAAAAAAACGAATTTTTTTTTCGTGTCTTGTGAAAATATGTTAGTTTATCATGTTTTAAGAGCCCCCTCAAAAGATCAGCTCAAAAACATTTTTTTAGAGGTCGTTCAAGATTTTTAAAGATTTCCAAAATCGTCAAAAATAGATTTTTTTTTTAATTTTTTTCTCGTTAATTTATCATTTTCTAGGTTGAAAAAAATCGCGATTCTGAAAATTTCAAATCGATATTTTACCTAATTTCTAAACGTCACTCATAATTATTAACAAAAGAATAGAAATAAATCACGACACATTTGAAAAATTTCTCGAGGTAAAATATACTAAGTAACGCACTATGAGTATCAAATATTTGTTTTAATTTTTTAAAATTAATTAATTTGCAAATATTTTACCTTCTAATTATAATATTTGATCAAACTTGTAATTATGTACCTACCTGATAAATTTTGAAAGTTGTTTTATGTGAAACAATAATTCTCTTAAATTTGTTATTAGATTGAAAAATTCTTTGAAAGCCCATTCTTTGAATGTCCTCAAAACGCATAAAAAAGACGTAAAGTATTTTTTATATAATTATGTACGAGTATATATTTTTTAATTTTGGATCTTCTCGTAGACTTTTTAGCTATTGAACTTGATAGTTGAAAATTGATTTTTAGTTACAAATTTTTTATGGTTCAGATTCGAAAAAATATGCAGGTTTCCTTTTTTATTTCTCTCGACGTTTTTAACATTTTCGTACCTATTTTAAAGTAAAAATGTTGATATCGATATAGCAAACCATTCTCGATATAAATGCTTTCAACGAAAAAGATACCATACTATTTTATACAGATTTTAATAGACATAAATTCACGAAAACAAGAATTTGTCATTTATATAGGCTGATTCAAAATTCAGTACAAAGAATTTAGGGGCGTATTTTTGAGGGCAAAATAATACTTTTTTTTCTATAAACGTGGGTCCACAAATGCTTAGCTTTTGATATAGACGATGTCAAAGTTTTTTATTTATTTTTTTATTTTTTAGGAATAATTTCCGTACAGATGAATGAATGTTGAATGTTGAATGTTGGCATAAAACTTGGGTCACGGGAGTTTTTTAGGATGCTAACTTATCGCTTTCGAGAAAATCAATGCTGACTAAACGAGTCGACAGTGATTTTCTCGCAAACGGTTAGTTCTATGAAAAGAATGTAGAGAGCTAAAATTCAAGATCATTGCATTACTGATTAGAATGATTAGATGGTGAAAATAAATTTTAAAATTTTTCACGGTAAGCAGTTAATAAAATTTGAAAATATACTGTGCATTTAACTTTGATCAGCCAAAATCTCGTAAGTATAGGGAAATAAACTACTAACACGAAGCGTCAACGTACAGGGTCGTAAAAAAGTTAGGGCCAATTTAATTCAAGCGTATCCTTATAGGTGGCGCCCCCTGCAAGCAGCGTCAAAGCAATTATTTATTTAAATTTAGCATACTAAAAAAAAATCATACCCAAAGTTTTACGCCAACATTCAAATCTGTCTCAAAAGTACGACCCTAAATTCTTTGTACTGAATTTTGAATCAGCTTGTATAGCAAAATAAGTTATAATTAAATACGTTTATTTCGAAAATAGTTCGTTGTAAAAAAGTAGAAGCTTCTAATGACAGCGTTTACTCACAAATTATCCAAATTTAATCGGAAACAAAAACATTGCAACGCAATATCACTTTTGAACTCTGTATCTTTAAGAACTTCCTGTATCCTAGAGGTTGCTCACCAGTTCCTGGACACCCTGTATATACAGTTTTTAAGGTTTTTTAAAGCTCGGCTTTTATAAGATTTTATCAGTCAAGTATCGTACACAATAAATGTGTTATTTTAAATAGATATTGATTGATTTGATAAGAATCTTATTATAAAATAGAGCGTGTTATTCTTTCACTCACTGATTTGACGAAACTCTGAAGGTATGTACACTTATATTATTATTATTTTCATAGCATTATAGCCGTTTACATTGCGAATTTTTTCATGAACTAATTCATAAAGTCACTTCATGGATAAGTTGAATGTAAGTGTAATCTCTTGTTAAATAATTTCTTGAATTCATTCATGAAGTTCTTCCCGAATTTGATCATGTTTCAACTTTCGTCGATTTCTTCATAAAGTTCAGCAGTGACAAAAAATAAATAATGAGGTTAACTTATCTGTTCACATGTTTACTTCATCATATTCTTTTTTTATAAAGGATGATAACTGGCTTCATAGAAGGAATACATTTTTTTACAAGTACCTAATTAAAAAATTAGCAATATTAATCATGTTCAAAGAAATTTATTCATTTTCTATTTGTCTTTATCTACTATGGATTTGGTTGAAATGCTGGTAGTAACCATTTAGGTACGTTTCAAACAAATTCATGAGAAACTTGTCAATGCAAATCAGCTGTAACAAATAAATCTTCTTTTTTAGTATAAAATGGGACATTTCGTTGCGCTCTTCGTCCTACTGCTCTCAGCAGTAGCCTGCCATTCCGCGTCACAAAACGCCACCGCCGTTTCCTGTACCATCTCAAAATACAACTTGGACCACATCAACCAAGCCCAAAGTGAATGCTCTGAAATCACCATCGACAGCCTAATCGTCCCATATGGTGTAACTCTGGATCTAACCAAACTTAAAACCGGTGCCAAATTGATATTCCGAGGTACCACCGTATGGCAGTACGAAGAATGGGAGGGACCGTTACTGAAAATTAAAGGAACCAATGTAGAAGTCACCGGCTCCGACGACCACGTGCTCGACGGCAGAGGTGCGCTGTGGTGGGATGGTAAGGGAGGAAACGGAGGCAAAGTCAAGCCGCACTTCATGAAAGCCACCGTAACAAACTCCGTCATCCACAAATTAAACATTAAAAATACTCCCGTCCAAGCTTTCTCAGTAAATGGTTGCATCGATTCCGTCGTACAATACATAACCATCGACAATAAGGATGGAGACACTAAAGGCGGCCACAACACGGACGCATTTAACGTTAATTCCTGCAACAACATCACCATAAAGCATTGCACCGTTTACAACCAAGACGACTGCATGGCGATGAACTCCGGATATAACACCTACTTCTTAGACAACTACTGCTCTGGGGGTCATGGTATTTCTATCGGTTCCGTGGGCAACGGTGCTACAGTTCAAGGAGTATTGGTCGACGGTTGCCAAATCGTCGATTCCGACAACGGAATCAGGATTAAAACCAAATACGGAGAGACTGGATCCGTGTCCGACGTCACCTATCAAAATATAGTGCTGAAGAACATTCACAGATACGGCATCACCATGCAGGGCGACTATGGTTCTTCAGGAGGTGTGCCCACTGGTGGTGTGCCGATTTCCCATCTCACTCTAAAGAATGTTACAGGCACTGTTGACAAAGGGGGCGCTAACATATACATTCTAGTTGAAAATGCTTCGGACTGGCATTTCTCTGACATTAATGTAACTGGCGGACAAAAGAAAATGAGCTGCAAAGGAATCCCAGCAGGAACTGGAGTCTCGTGCTGATTTGAACACATATGGGCTCCTGTAGATGATAAATAAACTTATGTTAATATAAATAAAGTGTTATTTATTTCTATCTAACATAGGTACATCCCAGAAATAGCAACTAAGTTTTTAGGGAAAACATGTAATTCCTAAAAATATTAAACTTTTTTACGAAAAGCTTAGTTGTGCTAATAATAAATATAAAAAAGCACAACGGGTACTGATTGGTGTTAGCAATGCCAGCAAATTAAGACTAAAATTAATAATTAGCCAAAATTTTTGCATTTGATGAGTTAGGATTCATCTTCAACTCTGTGAACTTCTTTGAACTGTAGAAACATTCAACCAATAAGAAAGAGGCAAAACGATGTGCCTATAAAATAGTGATGTCAGAAACAGACAAGGTTCTAATTGTTTTTATTAATCAATTTTTATTAATTGTATCAGGTATATTTAGATAATATCTCTGATTCATTGAGGGTACTTATAAGTTATTAAATAATTACTTAAAAGCATTTTTTACGTTAAAGATTTAATATTCAATAACGTTTATTGTTGCAATCAGCAATATTTATAAAACGGAAAGGACCTACTTCTGAAATAGCATCAAATGAAGTGATGAGATGCACTTATAACTATGATAAAAATAATTTTCGTAAACTTCAATACAGAGTAAATATTAAATATGTTAATAAGCAGTATTATAATCATTGGATGTTACAGAAAATATTGTTTACCACATAGTCCAGTAGGAGTTAATTTTTTATAAACCCCAAAATTTTCCCACTTCGGCCAAAAATATGTTACGTCCCACATAGCTATTGATTATGTTAAGACATAATCAATAGCTATGTGGGTTTTTAAGAAAAGCTAGGTATTAAAGAACTACAACGTTGATGGGATTTTATTTTATTGATGAATTGTTCAAATGGTTATTTAAAATGAAAAAGCCGCGGCGTGCTATTAAATTAGAGGGTGGAAATTGGAGATAGGGCTGAAAATGCAACCCTGGCGGTTTTTTGAGTATATCTCGAAAACGAAACAAAATTTGAGGGTATTGCATAGGAAAAATTTTGTAGATAATGAGATTTTCTATCGAAATAGCTTATTTAAAAAATGTATTTACTGCAAAATATATTAAAAACAATTTAACAAAATAATGCAAAAAATTCAATTTTTTATTTTTTTTTTACTTTTATGCAAATAACTTTTTTCTGATCAGAGATAGGTATAGGCATTGTTTCATAGAAAAAAAAGTATATAAAATTTCCTTCAAAACAAGAGCTTGTAGAGTATTTTTGGATGAAAATTGACTGATATATATGGCCGCTCCAACTTAGTCAATTTTTCGATTTTAATCGCGTTTACCTTTATTCGTTTTAATTCTCATTTTTTGCAAAAAAGGAAGGAAATAAGACGTTCAAGGATTTTCATCACATAACTTGTTCGAAGGGTCATTAAAAATGAAAAAACTGCGGGGTGCTATTAATTAGAGGGTTGAAATTGAAGGTTGAAAAAGCACTTTTGCAATGTTTTAAATATAACACGAAAACGAAGCAAAATGTCGGTATAGTTCATAGGAAAATTTATTTAGAGAATTGAATTTCCCATAGAAATAGCTTATTTAAAAAATGTAAAAGGAACATTTTATGCAAAAAATCGTTAATACACAATTTTCAAGCAAGCAAAAAATAAGATTTTTATTTTTTTTCCTTTTTCAATAAAATAATTAAGAAAAAACTTGAGAGTACAATAAAGTTTATTAATAATGTATATACAGTGTGTCCACGGATGGAGTTGACAAGGGGAGAACTCTTTTGTTTTTGACTTTATCGAAAAATGTCGACTGTTTATAAAAAATTCTGCCTCGAAAAAATGAGACTGTCATACAAACATCTTAGATTAGATATACAGGGTGCTCATAAATTAAAAAAACACGAAAATACTCGAGAGAAAAGTACCATTATTTATTATTTTACACATTTTTATAAAACAAATCTGTTTATAACCTCAAATAATATCCTATTACAAATTTTAAAATAAAAATCGAATTTTTTGCTTTTTTTCAAATTGTTTATTAACGATTATTTTGCATAAAATTTTCCTATTATATTTTTTAAATAAGCTATTTCGATAGGAAATTCAATCCTCTAAATAATTTTTCCTATGAACTATAGCGAAATTTTGCTTCGTTTTTGAGCTACAATTAAAAAACTGAAAGGGGTGCATTTTAACCCCTATCTCCAATTTCCACCCTCTAATTTAATAGCACTCCGAGGTTTTTTCATTCTAAATAACCGTTTGAACGATTCATGCAATAAAAACCCATTAACGTTGTAGTTCCATACCATAATATGACATAATCAATAGCCTATAGTGAGGAAAAATATTAATAACAACTTATTTTTAAATTGTATTTGTTCATTCTCTGTTGGATCGTACTCTTCGAAGAATATGCAAGTGATCATTTCTGTTTTAAATGAAATTTTGTACAAAATAGCAATGCTCCAATTTTTTTTATTACAAAAATTATTTTGCAATTAACAAAAAGTGGCAAATGACGTTTTTCTTGAAATTGCTGCCAATTTTCTAAGAAGTAAGGAAATCTCATAAAACTTTGAGATAATACTCCTCAATTCATCCATAATAAGCTCCCGAAACCCCATTGCTGATTGTGAGTTATTGACAAAAATACGTCATACTTGCCGGAATTTTTGGAACGATGGTAAAATTATTCTAGATCTTGCAACTTTACGAAACTTGGTTCGTATATGCTATAAGACACGTGCATTTTGCAATTTTAGTAATTTTCGCGTATTTAAGATAAAGCCAAGCTAAAAAACAGTGCCAAAAGAGCATTAAGACAGATATATACACAGAAATTGTAAAAATTGCTCATACATCTTAAGTATTAAAACAATTCAACAATTTTTAGGACAAAAATGCGTTTACGTCATAATCCGATCCTGATAATATCTCCATCATCTTCATAACAAACAGATAACTGTGAAAACACTTACGTTTAAGTATAATTTGCTTTTGCAGATAAATTTCATAACAAAAGAGATAAATATAACACAAAATAGTAGTGACTAATATGATTTTTAAATCACAAACAACCTTGTATTTTATCTAAATTATTCGTACCTATTTTATGTCAAAATTGTCTTAGTAAAGTTTGGGAGATAAGAAACATAAACAATTCTTATGTGTAGATGATATATTGAAGTTTACGTCTTAAAATTAATATAAGTACTTAGTTTGAAAGAAAAATCGTGAATAAATAAATAATTATACAAATAATAATATAAAGAAAAAGCTTTCACAAATAATGTTCTGAAATAATGTTATTACCATAAGGGGTGTTCATTTTTTTTTAAACAATGATGTCGTGGGAAACAACTATTCTGTAAGTTGATCAAAAGAGTTGGTGAGTGGCACAATTATACATATACAATATTTTTAATCATCAACTTTTCAGAAAAATCAGAAAATTTTATTAAAAATTATATGTCTATTTCAATTTTGTGTAATTTTGGCGTTATTTTGCATTTTCATGCAACATTTTTTTCGACATGAATGGAGATCCACCTTACCCAATTTTATTGATTTTTTTTGTTCACACAAACTTTAGATATTTGTGGATAGGTTTATGTAGTTTACACGAACTCTCACAAGTCTACGTAAATGATCAAATTTCTGTATGTCGATAAACTTTTCAAAACTTTAGAAAAACTTTCTAGCAGATTACCGAAAGTTCAGTATCTTTTTTTTTTACGTCGATGAAATTGTTTAGGGATACTCCAGGGTTCAGTTCTCGGCCCACTATTATTCAATACATTCATTAATGATATTTGTGATAATCTTCCAACATTCTTTTATATGCGGAAGTTCTCAAACTGTTACAACATTAACTTTTTTTTGCAATTAGTTTAATTATAAGAAATGTTAAGCATCTTAAATAAGTTTCCACAGTCTCTTTATTACACAAAATGTCGCAAAAAATTCGAACCCCTCCGATAACTAACGAGCTATTAATTCGCATAAGAACATGAACATACAGATTATACCGGGTGTTTCTGAAAGACCTCCCGTAAATTCAGGGGGTGATAGTACGACAAAAAATAAGAATTTTTTGTCGTACTATTGTCTATCTCCTATTGTTTTCTAGATACAGGGCGACAAAATAAATTTTTTTAAATAGAATTTTTACGAAAATTTCCAAACGGTGCGAAATATTTTTATGAAAATTGGTATTCCGAGGTTTTTTAAGAATACGCTGGTCTAATTACTTTTTTAATATTTCATAGAGGTGTTAGTTATGCTACATTGGTATTACATTTTAAGTTCTAATTTTTTTGAGGTAGTAGCATTCGGGCTCCATTTTCTAATGTATAATTTTATTTTCTAAAAATGATGTACTCTTGTTAGAACTTCCTAATGTGGACGGTTTTCGAGAAAAAAGGCTTTTAATTGAACTCTTACAATATTACGGTATAGAAAATAAGTGACTTTTCTCAAAGTAGGCTTATGTCAAAACTGATGGATGTCTCATAAACAACGCATACATTCTCAGTAATAATTTAAACTCTAATTAACTAATAAAAATTTTATTGACTGCAATTAGTCACTAACAATCATGTGTCTATTTATCATACTTGAACTGATGACACTTCTATAGAGTAACCATATTCAACCCTTTTGGTTTATTTGGTTTATTTTTTCTTTTTAGTGCATTTCAATAAAAACTTGTTTTTAAAATATTTGTCTCTATAATTCCAATTGTTTGTCAGAGCGGTGTAATTTAAAATAAATTAATAAAATAAACATTCTATATCTGATACGTATTTTGTTCATAATCTCAAGTTTGAAAGGGCATTGATCTTGCTCTGGATATTATTATTACCTAACATTTTATTCATACAGTTGTAATTATGTTAAACACTGCTAAGCAGTACAGGAATATCAATTAGAAGCAGATGATTTGAATTGATGGAAACATAGGGGCATCTGGCAAGTTGCACAGTTAAGTTCTGTACACGCAAAACGTAAAACAATAGCTGCTTCAATTGTTTGGTCTACTACTATAGAATTTACGTGGAATATCAACTAAAAGATTTTTTTATATAAAAGGTAACGACAGCTACTAGAAAATTAGTTCGACTGGAGTTTTATTACAGAAAATAAGTTAGCACCATGCTTTGCCGTTTGTTGCTTTTTACAGTTTTCTTTAATTATCTTTTGGAAGCGGCGTATTGCGACGAGAGTGGAAATTTTTTCCTGAAAGTCTCTAAAAGCGTGCCGAGAATAGGGAAAAGGGGCAAGGGCAGTCCGGAGTTTGAGAAGTTTTTCTTAAAGGCCTCGAAATCTGTGCCCAGAATAGGAAGACGAAACGAGGTAGATATGTATTTTGTTATAATTAGGAAATATTTCGATAATTTTTGCTTTGAGGCATTTCTTTAATACCGCAATATTTTTTTACAGAATCCTTTCGAAAATCAAAATGAGGTGGCCGACAATGGTTATACTCAAACAAGAATCAAATGTAAGTCCGCTGTTAATTCGAATGTTTTTACCAATATGTTTAAATATAGATACGCCCCGATTTTTATTATATTCTCGTAGTTATTTTGTTGTATTTATGTAAGATCCTGCAATTCAATAGTTTTAAATAAAGTTGTCTGTCATAAAAACAAAGAAATAACGTTACTCATTTGTTTTCATATAGATTTCCAAACTGAAGTAAAATTAATTAAAGTGAACATTTTTTGGAATTGTAATATTTTTCTTATACATGTAGTGATCTTACAGATGTTGGCCATCTTCTGTGAATTTTTTGGAAACGAGTTTTAGAAAAAACACCAGGGATTTCTTTATTAAAAATATGTAAAATTCTAATAATTTTTAATGAGGAATATTTTTTCATACATATTTCAAATTTTCGATTTTTTTCAGTTTTTGTGCAGTTTCATTAAACCACCCTGTACATCACCGACGTTTACACATTACAAAAATATCTCATAGAAAACTAGATATTATGTTTTTATCAATTTTCCTCTATTGATATTGCAAAGGCATGAAAAAAAATGCAGTACCTACCTGTAAAAATAACATAGTCAATTAAGATTAGATTTTTTTTTAATTTGTAAAAAATGTACGGATGAAACTGCTAATAAACAAAATTTTCAAAAAATAATTATAGTCCAATTAAATGAGCCTTTAAATCGCAATTTGGTCAACCTGCCTGAATTTTTTATATAAGTTAGTTTGAGGTATATTATAACAATAAGTGACAGTAATTTTTTTTCGACCCCCGGCCAGGGGTGAAAAGAGATAAAATAAAGGGGTTTTTCAAGAAAAGGGGTGGGGGCTAGAAAAAAAATTTTCTTACAAAAGTTGTAGAGCATAAAATTCTACATGAAAATGGTCTATTGACTTTTTCTGATACTATTAAAATTAATAATAGAGCTAGGGTCGCTAGAAGTTAAGGGATGATTTCAGAAATTTAAAAGAATCATAACAAGCAGAAAAATGAATGAATTTTATAATATATATTTTTTTCAGTCTACTCTAAAAA